ACTATTAAGAAGATCATTATAAGGTAGTGATATATATTGAACTTGTAGAGTAACAATAGATGGGCATATTGTAAATTAATAATTAAAGATGAATAATTTTGGAATATTAAAGGATTAAATGAACCAGTTAAAAGGCAAGAAAACAAATGCAGAACTAGAAAGCACAGGAGACACATCTCAAGTGGTTTTACCTTTTCAGTAGCACACCACACTTATTCAAGGTGTATATTGCTGTCAGAGACTGCTGGCTAGGAGCAGTGAATGCAAGATAGGTATTATGTACCTGCCAAGGCCCTAAGATCATCTTTTGGGGTCCTTCTCAGGGAGCTTCCTCTAACAGAAGTAAAGAGGATAGTGACCAGGAGAAGGGCCTTCTCTGTGGTGGTACCTTGTCTGTGAAATGAGCGCCCCAAAGAAGTATGCTTGGTGCCTTCTCTTTTTTTTTCTTTTTTTTTTAGGCACCAGATGAAAACCTATTCATTTGTCAAGTATTTTAAAAACTGAAAGGTTTTTGCTTTGGTTATAACATGGTACTGTATCTTTATCTGCTGTTATGCCACTGTAGTTAGTCTGTTGCTGTTCTACTGATTGGCTTATTGTTTTTGTTTTATTGGTAGTCCTTTGTTGTTATTGTTTTCTTTTAATTCTGTTAACCACTTGGAGAGTCTTTTGGCTATTAGGTGGTATACAAGTGTAATAAATAACATAAGTAAATAACATTATTGGAATTTCAGCTTATGAAGCAACTTGGATGGAAATGATGTGAGGTAAACAGACGGGAACAGGGAAATGATCATTAGATACATATTTGTCAAAGGATGAAGAAGTAATATAGCATATTAAAGAGATACTACAGGATTTTTTCAAATAATTCTGAATGGAGAGGTAGAGGCATGTACATTGTGGGATGCCATAAAGGCATATTGGAAAGGACAGATCCTAAGCAACATAGAACTGTTTTGATAAAAGATTTAGAGAACCATCTTAAGAATACTTTGAGTGTAAACATGCTTGAAGAGCTACAAAAATATAAGGAAATGTTAGGCACAAGACATGCAGAAATATATTTACAATTTAATAGACAGAAATATTTTGAAAAATAAAATAAGGTGGAAAATCTATTGACTACTTGAGAGACGAGTAAGTAAAGAACATATACATATGTACAGAAAAAGTATTTAAAAAGACTATAAGTCCTAAAGGCAGTTTTGATATGACAGAATGTTATAAACTAAATTCTGATTGGTCCCTGAACCCAAGGAAATTGTATAGACTGTATCCAAATATGGGTTCTGATGTACACTGGAAATGTGGAGCAACAAATACAAGTACATTCTGTATGCGGTGGTTTTGTTCAAGGATGTGGTAGTTCTGGTGCAACTATCCCGGATAAACCTTTGATAATGTTATTAGGGTAACTTAAAGATCCAGTCAAAATCAAAGGCCATGAATTAATGCTGAATCTATGGATAGTAGCTAAGTTAATAATACCATTGAACACAAATGAATTTACCTCCCCTCATAAAACGGAGATGGAAAATATGGCAAATAGCCACAATGGCTAAGCTTACAGAATTTTTATGGATGAGAGATGCAGAAATGGCTGTAATTATGTTTCAGAAAAAATGGGTCTAAGTTCTTAACATATAGTTCTTTAAATTATGGTTTACATATGATAGAAGAAGAAATGATAGGTATTAAATGATGACTAGGTATTGCATGGTTTACTATGGTTTATTACATGTACTGAATGTTGTATATAGTAGTCATAATGATTAATATATTATTTGATATGAATTAAAGATTAGCTTACCTGAAAATAAATTTCAAAAATCTAAAAGTGGAAATTCATTTCAGAATTAAATTATAACATTTTATTTTGTGACTCATAAGATTGCATGTGTGCTTTGGGATCATAGTGTGGGAGAGGGGTCTATGATACAAGTTTGTATTGTCCTCACAAGTGATGCTTGGTCCCTTGATGCCATATTGCCAGCTGACTTAATAAGGAGAAACTCCCTGTCAATATCCAATGGCTAAGCTAATGTGTATTTGCACATACTCATGGGTATCCACTACAATATTTTTTTGCCAGTCCAACTTATTTTACTAAATCACAAACCGGATTGTGGCAGGATATAAATATTTCCATTGTATGTTTTCCATTTAATGATAATAATTCTGTTCAAGTACTTATTTTTGCCTTTTGACTCACATGGTAGGAATTTCGGAATACTCTAGTTCCAAAAGCACAAAAATATGAATATGTTCTCTTGAATGCAATTTCAATTTCACAAGATTTCAGTCATTCATTGTCTCACATTATGGACAAGATCCAACAAGGGGCACATGTAAACAGGATGAAGCCATGGAGAAACAGAACCTCACTTTCAGACTGAATAGCGCCAAGTCCCATTGAGTGGTCCACTTCTGGACAGTTATGTATAGTTCATTAGCTATCTTGACTTTTTTGTTTTAAAGAAAGGAAGCATCTAGATATAAGAAATGCATAGCAAATCATTTTATTTAAGCCTCTCTAGTGCTAAATCTGTGATAACCCATTAATATCTTCCACTTTATTTCACTTAATTATAAAAGAACAAGGAAAAAATCTGAATTATTGCTGCTTTCAGTCGTGTACTTCTGAATTTTAGCAACTGTTCCTGAAAATGTATAATGCTAAAATATTACTACATATTTATTTGCTTATTTTAGTATTTCTTGAGAACTGTAACATGTTAAAGGTTAACATGAAACTTTTTTTCTGAATTGATCAGCATTGAAATGTCAGCTGTCTAGTTATGGCAGCATACCAGTATGCAAACATTGGTCTATTATTGATTTCCCTGGTTGCATAACATTTGCATTGTGACATTTTGCCACAACATTAGCAAAGTAGTTGTTTCTGGATCAATCATTTTTTGATAGTACACACTATGCAATTATACTTGATGTGACCTACTTGGAATTGCATATTAACAATCTGGCTAAAGTATATATTTTTAAATGTAAACTTAAAGTGTGAATTACGCTCAATTGAAAAAAAGCACCATTTGCAAGCATAGTTTGGAAACTTAGAAAACTATATTTAAGGAAACAGCATAACTCTGTCTATTTAGATGTAAGTCTAGCTGAGTTTATTAGTGCTTACTCCCAGGTGAGCATGCGTAATATTGCAGACTTATCATAAGAACAGCTATGCTGGATCAGACAAGGGTCTGTCAAGTATAAGATTCTGTTGCCCACTGTGTAAACTTGCGACCCACAAAATTGGGATCCTCATGTGTTGATCTTTCCTGAAAGGAAATCTCTTTTTGGGGTGGGGGATTTTTAATTTAATTAAAAAATGTATTTCCCTCTACCTATGCATGTAAAACCACACTTAAGTCTGCTTCCCCTTCACATTATGTCATTTGATGGATAGATAAAAGTTCATCACATATTTATACACTACTGTTTTCCGCAAAGAATTGAAAGAGGTAGATATGGGTGATTATGCTAGCAGTTATAACAGCCATGTGATGTGCATTTGTTGGGGAGAAAGTGATTAGCATAAAGTCACCTAGTGAATCTTGTGGATGAATTTGGTTCTGTCCCAATAATGTATAAACCAAGTCTAACTTGTTTAATGAATCTAAGTCTAACACTGGCTATAACCCATGGGCAGCTATCCAGCCCTAAGTTGTTCTTTTTCCCATTCAGGCTCTGAACCCAGAAATAAAAAAAAAACAAAACAAAATGGGAGGAAGAAAGGATCATATTCTTTGATGCTTTAAATCAGGGGTGTCCAACCTGTAGCTCGGGGGCCACATGCAGCCCAGAAGGCCTATGAATGCGGCCCAACACAAAATTGTAAAGTTACTTAAAACATTATGAGATTTTTTCACCATTTTTTTGTAACTCAGTTGTGCAATTCTGCAGTGTATACTTTGTAGATGACAATGTCATGTCACAATGTCACGTAAAATAAGCGTACCTATGCTCTCATTATTTGTACACATGCGTGGTTTTACAGCAGTGTGCGGCTTCCCGTGTGTTAACTTCCAAGCACAGACAGTCAGATTGACAGCATCAGACATTACATGTGCTCATGGTGACTTGGTGAGTGAAACGCAGCTATTATCAATCTTTCAACCTACCGTTGCAAACAGTTTTATACATTTCAACACGTTGGCTAAACACATCCTGTGGACAGCAAAAAATATGCAGCCTTGCTTTTTGATTTGATACAAGAATTTGATACACAAAACAGATTTAAAGATTTCTGGGAAAATAAGCACTATTTTGGTATATTTGCAACTCCATTTTCAGTCAACATAAATATGTTACCCACCAAATTTCAAATGGAATGTATAGAAATGCAATCTGACATTCAGCTTAAAGAAAAAATTAATCATGGACTTTTATATCATTAAAATTACACACAGACTTTTTTTTTTTTTGCTTATCAGCTTTTGTTGGTGTTTATTTAATGTGTGACCCAAGACATTTTTTTCTTCCAGTGGGACCCAGGGAAGGCAAAAGGTTGGACACCCCTGCTTTAAATAATTTCCCTTTCCTTGTTTTAAAAGTATTTGTGGGACACCAAGTTTCAAGACACAAGTCTGATACAGTTATACTGTATGTACTTTAGGCCTTGCTTTGGTGTGGCTTGCTATGGTATGGAAAGAACAGAAAGAACTGAGGTTTTCATATGTAGAATGCTATCTTGCCCAAGGTTCATGGGCTGCTCATATGCAGCAAATGGTAAGTAATTAAAAGTTACAAAGAGATTGGTAATAGAAGAGAAAAGCTCTTGATAGCTGTTTCTTAAGATAGGATTTGGTAGGTGAATCTGTAGGTAAACAGGGTGAAGTTCTTGCACTGTTATTGAAACAACTTGATCAGTCACTCAGCATGAGATTATTTAGACTGTGAATTGTTATAAGCTGTGTTTGTTATAAAATAACAAAAACTGAAATTATTGTTGATGTGTCAATTTTTGATTGGCCCCTTCTTAGCTAACAGCACGATCTTTGCCCATCATACAAACGGATGAGAGACTCCAGCCTCTGCTTAATCACCTCAGGTAATGTAGATACACATTCTTCTATACTATATCTCTACCCTTGAGAAATAGTAGTACTGGGAGGCTTGGCAGGGCCAGCAGGAGGTGTCCTGGATTCTTGGAAATAGCTAGTCATGCTTAGCTGGACTTAACTGGAAGGTCATTAAAGAAAATGCTAAACCATTTCTCTTAAAACAATGTAAGAGATCTAATTATGAAATATAAATGCCAGATGTGAATAATAAATAATATCTTAAAATGTAAAGAAAGAGAGAGAGGAAGGAAGGAAATAATAATCATATCAAAGGGAAAAAGCAAAAGATCCAAGCAGATTCGTATTGAATTCTGGGTAACTTGCATAAGTATGATTGACCTGTATAATTTTCAAAGAGAAAATGCTGAGTTAAAACCCTTTTCACTTGATCGAAATGTTATTTGAGCAACAAACAAATGTGAGACTATTATTCCATGTCACAAATTTACTTAAAGCATTCACCTTTCAGTTAATGTGCAAACATATATTGTAAAGTATACACATCAAAATGCATGATATAGAGATGTCAAGAAATAGTGATAGATTTGGGTTAACATATCTTGACTAAGAAATTAGTTAAGGTGCAGTTCAGAACTGATTTCATGTAGATAGGCTAAAAGATGTAGGAGTAAGTCTTTTTTCATGTACTTTAAAAAAATGTTTAATAACAGCAAGAAAATTAAGCCCCTAAGTCCTAATCTACAGGACAGTAGTTAATATTAGCTATGAGGTAATTTCTAAACAAAAATAGTATACACTTGTGCTATTTTTAAAATGTGGTAGCTTCTTCTTTCACACCCGACTTGTGTACCTGTCAGCTATAGGCACACTCCAGTGAGGAAGCCAATAAGTCTTCTGAACTCAGAGGATTAGAGACATCCTATGTAAAGCAATGGAGACAATCTCTGCTTCCCTCCTCTTCCAGCCCTGCATTTTTGTTAAATGGTCATTTTCACCCATCTGTCTTGGGCATTCCTGAGGGAGAGTTTGATGGTGATGCTGGGCCTGGGGTAACCTCTGATTCGTGCAAGCTTCTCAGACCAGTTTTGACTATTTGACTGGAAGTAGGAGCTTTAAAGAACTGCTTTTCATGCCAATATAATCCATCCCCATTCAAGGATGCTTCTGCCTCTTTCCTCACCCCCTATCCTTAGTATGTAGATTACTTTTTGGATATCTGGGAAGGGAGTCTATTTTTTAGCTGAAAGATTACTATTTCCTCAGCTTGTAATCAGAATCACCTAGGTCAAAGCAAACTGGGTCTTTTTGGTTCTTCGTCGTGGCCTCTGTGCATCACACATATGGGTGCTGTGCCTGCGCAGTGCCTTTGGCCGGAAGCTTGCAAGCTAACAGTTTTTTGGTGGGAAAGCTCCGCTCCCCCTCCCCCATGGCCTATAAAGAGCGGAGCGTCCGCCATTTTGTTCAGTCTTTGTGACCACCATTCACTGTGCCTCGTGCCGCTTTCGACTTTCGCTTAGAGCTGTTACCTTGCTCTCGATTGTCCTTCTTTCCCAGTTTTTTCTTCTAAAAACAAAACAAAAAAAAAACTTGCTCCCAGTTCATTGTTCCTCGTAGTTTTTCTCTTGTTATTTCTACTTTCGATCTATCTATCTAAAAAAAAAACCAAAAAAACAAAAATATATACTTACCCTCTGCACTATCCCTCTCCTTCTTCTTCTGCGATGGCGCAGCGAGCGGCTTTCCACAAATGTGCGGACTGCGGGTCAAAAATGGCACCAACTGACCCGCATGACCTATGCCTCCTCTGCCTGGGATAGGGGCATAGGACGGATAAGTGCGCGCATTGCCTGGCCTTCTCCAAGCAGGCCAGGAAGAACCGCGAAAACCGCCTCTGGAGACTCCTTTGGGACGGGCTCTGATGCAATCAGACCCGCTTGTTGCCATCCCAAAACCTGGCTCCATCCCATGCCCAACTGTGCTCATTGGATCTGAGGCGGGTGTCACCTTGATCCCCACAGGGTGGAAGCAGCCACTCCTTCTCCCCGGCGGAGTCATCATCTTCGGCCCCACCCTACTACGGTGCTGATTCGGCCAACTCGGAGGGCGACTCAACCTCTCCAGACGTCGCTGTGACATCCCAGGGTCCTGCGTCACCTGATGAGTCCCGTATCTCCTTCGCGGAGCTGATGTCTACACTTGTCCAGTCCCTGGACATCGACACTGCCCAACGCCCGGGACCGACGACGGACAAGTTCTGCGATGTTGTCTGCGGGGAGCAATCGACATCCATCGTCCTGCCACTCATAACCACCTTGCGGCAGGCGATGACGCAGCCATGGGACTTGCCATCACATCCTCAGCAGATGTCCAGGAGATATGAGTCGATGTGCAGGGTTCGGGAGGAGGACATCACCTTCCTACTCCGACATCCCAAACCGAACTCTGCGGTTGTTGAATCCTCACAGGGCAGAGAGGCGAGAGGGCACACAGCACTGAGGGATAAATAGGGCCGAAAAATAGACTCCTTGGCTAGGCGAGTCCACGCTGCTTCAGGCCTGGGGCTCCATATATCAAATTATGAGGCGACGTTGGTGAGGTATCAATACTTTATTATGCAGCGCCTGCACAACGTCACCTCCACCCTCCCGGACCACCAGGGTGACCTCGCGAAGGTCCTGATTGAGGAAGCCATGCAGGTCGCGGTGCAGCAGTTATCCCTAGCGAGGCACCACGTGGATACTGACTCACGGGCCTTGGTCGGTGCCGTTTCTCTCCGAAGGCACGCATGGCTTCGGAATTGTAATTTTCCGGAAGAAACCAAGTGCCGGATTGAGGGAATGCCTTTCAATGGATCCGGGCTTTTCCATTCTTGCACCGACCACAAGCTCAAGAAGCTGCATGAATCTAGGATGACGGCACGCAGGATGGAGATAAAGTCCCACTCCAGACGTAAGTGGTCCTGGAATCGTCCATCCTACGATGGCCTACGTCCAGGCAATCATATCAACCGAGGCAGCAACCACAACACCGCCAGAAACAGCAGCGCCGCTGTCCTCAGCCCCAACAACACTTCCAACAAGGCCGCCGTCGTTTCGACGATCGGAGGCAATGTTGACGGGACTGGCGAACCATTCCTCACGCTCCAACAATACCCACCCCCCTCTCATCTGGGGATTGTCTTCGAAGCCAACTCCCCATTTGGGAGTCCATCACATCTGATCGGTGGGTATTGTCCATCGTTCAACACGGCTGTCGAATAGAATTCAACATCATTCCTCCGTCGAGTCCTATCTGGTCCACTTCATGTTCACCGGTACTTCTCGATGAAATACATCAACTTCTTCGTAAAGGAGCAATTCGTCAAGTATTCCCATCTGACGGACTCCACGGATTCTATTCCAGATACTTCACGGTTCCTAAGCGGGATGGTGGTCTACGTCCGATTTTGGACTTACAGAACTTAAATAAGTTTATTGTACCAAAAAAGTTTTGTATGACTACCCTTCAAAACATTTTGCCGTTGCTAAGGAGAGAGGATTGGTTCGCCTCATTGGACTTGAAGGACGCCTACTTCCATATTTCAGTTCACCCAAGTTACAGGCATTTCCTTTGTTTTGCTGTTGCAAACCAACTTTATGAGTTTACAGTTTTGCCTTTTGGACTGGCTACTGCTCCAAGGGTTTTTACCAAGTGTATGGCTCCTGTCTGTGCCTTCCTATGCCTCCAGGGCATACCAATTTATCTGTACCTCGATGACTGGCTGTTGGTGTTGCAGTCCAGAGAAGGACTCTTTGCGGCCATCCATACAACTTGTGCCTTGCTCAATAGCCTAGGCCTATGTATTAATACCGAGAAATCTTCTCCTGACACAGACGCTCACCTTCATTGGAGCCCGCTTGGATTCGACGTTGGAAAAAGCCTTCCTCCCTCAAGACAGACAACAGACTCTTGCTCGCCACATCCATCTAATCCGACGAGAGGGAACGGTCCCGGCGAGGTCTATCCAGAGGATCCTGGGGCATATGGCTTCCTCAGTTGCCGTAGTTCCACATGCCAGGCTTCGGCTTCGCCCACTGCAACTCTTTTTCAACAAGGTGTACCATCCTCAAAGAGATCCGCAGTCGAGACTGATTCGGATCCCAACTTCCGTGCTTCACTCTCTGCGTTGGTGGTTGGAACAGACCAATCTTACGATAGGAGTCCCCTTCAAGGCGCGACCTCCTATGATTACCCTTGGCACCGATGCGTCTCTTCTAGGATGGGGAGCGATATGCTCCGGCCTATCTACCCAGGGTATGTGGAATCGTCTAGAATCCACGAATCATATCAACTTCCCAGAACTACTGGCAGTTTTCAAAGCCCTGCGCTCTTTCAAGGACATCCTTCATCATCAGATCATTCAGATAACTTCGGACAATATAGCTACCATCTTTTATCTGAACAAGCAAGGGGGAACAAAGTCACCGACTCTAGCCAGGCTTTCTATGAAAATTTGGGACTGGTGCATCCGGAGACACATCACGCTGATGGCTGTTCATCTAGCTGGTGTAGACAATGTGCAGGCGGATCTTCTCAGCAGGCACATGTTCACCTCTCACGAGTGGGAACTGGATCCCCGTACGCGCAACCACCTTTTCCGGCGCTGGGGGTTTCCCAACATGGACTTATTCGCTACCCAACAGAACAGGGTATGCGAGACTTACTGTTCCAGAGCGGAAATCGGACAAGCATCCCTAGGGGACGCATTCATGATCCCTTGGGACAACATCAACTTCTATGCTTTCCCTCCGATCCCTCTTCTGATGAGGGTCATAGCAAAGATAGTGCACGACCGAGCATCGGGGATACTAGTTGCCCCTTGGTGGCCACGTCAAGCGTGGTTTGCGAAACTACTCGACATCTCTCGCGGGGAATTTCTTCATCTTCCATCGCTCCCATAACTTATAACACAGGTGGACGGCACACTTCGCCACCCAGATTTGCTCTCATTGAACCTAACAGCGTGGCGAATTCAATGATTGACGTTCCATCAGTGTGGCCGACGGTTTCAAAAGTTATGAATCGGACAGCTTCTACTAATCCGTCGGTACCGACGATGACTTCGACCACCTCGGATCCGATTGTCGAACCCAATCACTCGGCTGCTTCCCCCCTCTCTGGTCTCTCTGTACTATCCGGTTCGAGACAAGACCGGTCGACTCCGAATCCGACATTTTTGCACCCTGATATTCAGCATATCATCGACTCTGCCTTAAAGCCATCCACAAGGAAGTCATATAAGGCTAAATGGAAACGTTTTTCCACCTTTGCCGAGTCGCGTTCATTCTCTCCATTCCTCTCATCCATTCAACAGATTCTTCAGTTCCTCCTGGAATTGCACCATTCCGGACTGAAGCCGTCGTCCATTAAAGTGTATACAGCCACAATAGTCTACTACTGTGGCTTAGTCAACGGATCACCTCTGTTTTCTCATCTTATCCTCAAAAGATTTTTGAAGGGACTGTATAATCTTAACCCATCAATTAGACCGGTTATGCCCACATGGAGCCTCTCTGTAGTTCTACAGGCCCTTATGAAGGCCCCTTTCGAACCTTTGGCGACGTGGATCTTTGATTGGTTTCTTGGAAGATGGCATTTCTTGTAGCTGTCACTTCAGCCCGGAGGGCCAGTGAGCTTTGCATAGACCCTCCTTATTTAAACTTTCACAGGGAGAAGGTCGTTTTACACCTTGACCCATCTTTTTTGCCTAAAGTGTCTACATCTTTCCTTACGGGACAAGACATTGTGCTGCCTGCCTTTTCTCCGTCACCGTCAACTCCATTGGAAAGATCTTTGCATTCACTCAATGTTCGCCGTTCCTTAGCCTTCTACCGATCGCGAACGGAGTCTATTCGATGATCCAATAAACTATTCATCAAATATTCTGCTAGGGATCAGGGCGATCCAGTCACTCCGCAGAGACTTTCTAAGTGGATAGTCCACACTGTAGTCTTATGCTATCAATTAGCTAAGCTCGAACTGCCTTCAGTTCCTCGAGGCCATTCTGCTAGAGCTGTTGTAACCTCGTCTGCATTCGTATCCGGGGTCCCGATTGATGACGTCTGCCGAGCCGCTACTTGGGCGAGCCCTTGCACCTTCGCCAGGCACTACCATCTCGATGTTCAAGCTCAACGGGATTGCTCCTTCAGTAGAGCTGTTCTCTCCTCCGTTCTTCAATGAGGACACCTTCCCTCCTCCTTTATGGCAGGCTTGTTAATCTACCCATATGTGTGATGCACAGAGGCCACGACAAAGAAAAGCAGGTTGCTTACCTGTAACTGATGTTCTTCGAGTGTCCATCTGTGCAGTCACACAACCCACCCTGCCGGTCCCGCTCAGTGTCGGTGAGTGGACACATTCATCGGTACCGAAAGTTTCCCATTTTTTCTTGGTACCGATCCCTTTTTCCTATCTCATACTGAAAATGTTTCCACAAGGGGGCGCATGTTCAGTCGTCAAAGACTGAACAAAATGGTGGACGCTCCGCTCTTTATAGGCCATGAGGGAGGGGGAGCGGAGCTTTCCCGCCAAAAAACTGTTAGCTTGCAATCTTCCGGCCAAAGGCACTGCGCAGGCACAGCACCCATATGTGTGACTGCACAGATGGCCACTCGAAGAACATCAGTTACAGGTAAGCAACCTGCTTTTCTTTAGACAGTTGCAGTACTCACTTTCCCTGCCAGACTTAAGATGCCCTTCTGGTTCAGGGTTGCGGAACTTGTGGCCCTCTAGATAATTTTGGACTGCAGCTCAGCCCTACCCAGCATAGCCAATGGTAAGGAATGATAAGAGCTGCAGTCTCACAAGATTTCAAGGTCACACATTCCCATTCCAGCTCTAGTATCTATAGCTGACCATAGAGAGTGTTGATTCTTGGTTCAGAGTGGAAAGATCAGCAGGAAGCATTGCACTCCATTGCTTCTTTAGCCTCTGCAGTGGACCTTGGAGTTCACACTTTTACTCAGCTCCCCAAATTCAGAAAGGTAACATAAATAAAAATAAAATATTTAAAATAAAATATTCAGCCTTTTTATTTACAAATACACATAACAATTTATTCATCATAACTTTATCTTTGAAGATAATATTGGAATTCGTGTTTATCAGCTTTCGTAACATTTAAGTAATGGATGTATTTCCATATATAATGAGCTTGCAATGGCAGATAATTAGCAAGTATTGTTGTCATGCAACATCTGCTTTCTGTCAACACTTCAAGCTTTCCCCTTAAGTAATCTTGTTTTGTCCTTGAAAAAAGTGCCTCACTACTTGAAATTCATGTGGAATATTCTCCTTCACTCAGAATCCTTTTAAAGCCACAATCATAATTTTATTACATATTCCCTTGGGTTGCCTCCTCATAGTGTGGCATAATATCTCAGTGGAAGTGTTGTCATAATTCTTTGATAAATTCAAGAAGATACATTTTTCTAGTGGTTTCTTTAATAGGAAAACTCTAGGAGATCTATACCTGAAGTCTAAAATTATATCAAAGTATCAAAGTTTGGACAACTTTGATACTTTGATATACCTCATTAGAATTCAGATATTTTACTCACACTTGAATATTTTGTTCACACTTGAAATATACACAGATTTTCTGACTGTGTATTTCATTGTTGAAAAAAGTGCTGTAATTGCTTAGAAGAGTTGAAAGAAAAGAACAACTTTCAAAAGAAAGTGTTTCTGCAAAGGGGGTGGAATGTAGCTCTCAGTACCTGGAGGATGGGGGAGGTGTGGAAAAGGTGCTAGGAATTGAAAATGGGCAGAGCAATATTTAAAAAAAAATAGAAAATCACCTCTGAAAGGGGGACATAAACTTGCTGCCCTCTTTCAAAAGAAAAAAATCCCTTTGTCACTTTGCTTTTCAGTTGACAGTTTGCAAGCAGACAGCTGTCAAGGGTGTGCAAAGCAAGCTATATACAGCCATGTTTAGTCAGTGTCTATGGATGTTGCCTTCTGCAGTTGACAGCATATACTTACCAGGACATTGACCAGGCAGGACTCCACATCTTGGTCCCTTGTTCATTTGCAATCAGAGCAGGGAGTGGGGCGATAAGACAGATTTTGCTGCCCATGATCCTAGGAGACCAGCTGGAGGGACAGGTTGTTCTGCAAACTACCTACACTTGGTAGTTTATTCACAGTGTGGGTTGCTCTGTGGTGCAAAGTCTTCCTTAATATTCAATATAGGGTACTGTTCTGAGCACATTTTGAGGAAGCAGTGTTTTTGTTTGGAAATTGCATGGTGCTTATTGAGTGAAGTATAAAAGAAGTCTGGCTTTAGCATGTTTTAATTATGTCTACTCAAATATATTGAATGAGTGGTTCTGAGGGCACAAAAACAAATTTAACTTTAGGTTTCCCATAGTAACACCAACTACCTTTTCAGTTTCTGAAAATTACATTTTTCATAAATAACTTTTTTCCCATGTTACAGCCATGCATATGTTGGTCCAGATTACAGCATTCAAAAAAATACAGGGAAAATTTCATTAGAACACATTGATGCTGTAAGTATTATATTGTTTTATGTTCAACTCTGCGTTACCTTGGTCCACCATGAAGTTAATTTGAAGAAACACTCTTCTGTATAACAAATGGAAAATAATGATGACTTCAGTTCAGAGGAAATTTGTTGTGTTACTCTCATATGAAAAAAAATTGAAATAATTGGAACTAGTTAGGCATAACTAGCATAGGAATTTTTATTTCAACAGGGTCAGTGCATGACTAACTTCTGATGCCTCCAGCTCAATATATTTATAGATGCTCAAGTACACTAGCTGCATAAAATACATATTGGTTTTACAAAGTGGTGTACAGGTTGCAAAGGGTTAGATGTGTGGCATTTCATTAAAATCAGCCCAGAATAATATGTCACTTGTATAAAGGGATGGCGGAATAAAAATAGAGCAAAATCACGAGTGTCAGTAGTGCTTAACATGCTGTATGGCACTTTAGAGAGCCCGAGAGCACATTTATTGACTCCATACCATGCCATGCTGTTGTTTGAACAGACCCAGTAATTCTTATATCAAGCTTGCAGTATAGAATAATATTATTGGCTGCATATTGTAATATTACATGTAATTACTAACAGGTTGTTTACCTGACACATCAGTTTACTAATGCTGATAGTTTGGGTGGAATTTATTACAGCAGTTATTCTGGGCAGTATCCCATACTACCTATGTGCCTCCACTGCCTAGAGCAGGCAACCGTGAGCACTGGTGTACCCTCAGGCACTTTCTTGGCATTTGCCAAGATGTCCTATCCATAGTGTTGATGATGATTAACAATTTTTCTTACTGCCAGCTGGAACATCTTAAAGCAATGTCGAGAACCTTGAGCTGCTCACACCTTCTTTTCCCAGTAATGTTTGTGGGCTATATGTGGGGTTCTCGGGCAGTCTTATAAAATGAAGATGGCAGATAGCTGCAGGCTGCAAGCAGATGTTTGCAGCATGCCCATTTTGTGATGACGCCCAGGATCAGATACTAGTTTCCAGGGAGGGACAGGTAATAGGAACTCCTTTCTGCTACTTCCATTGATCTGCTCTGTGCTATGGACATGTTCTTTGGGTAACTTCCAGTTATCTTAGGAAGCAGTTGCTGCCCATTGAGCATCACACTGGTGGGTCAGGTTGCTACACAGGTAGCACTGGATACTGTCCTTTGTATATAAAAATGCAAGAAAGGAATAACTGAAAAAATAAAATAACATTGCACCAGTGTCATCAATGTAGTATATGCTTCCTTTGGGAAGAGCTAGTATTAATAGGCATGCAGAATCCTTATTTTAAACTGATAACTAATTAGCCATACTGATTAATGCTTTTGTCTAGAATTAATAAGATCACTTTTCTTTTAATAAATGTACTTTTTCATTGCATTTGTTCTTGTATCTTGTACAGAAAGAGATATTAGATCTAAATGCTTAGAGTAACACTGAAGTTGTAAAATAGATTTATCCACAGTCCCTGTAGCCTTTTATTTACTTTTCTCTTCAAGCTGTTCACCTTTCTAAATGGATTTAATTAGTGATCAAAATACAGCCTGTAAGCTAATCTAGTCAATAGGTCGTTAATGCAAGTTTTCTTTTGCAGCTTTCGGTTAAATCATTTCCTCTCTGCATGCGCCAGCTGCACAAAGCTCTGCGTGATAACCATCATCTCCGTCATGGAGGCCGTATGCAATATGGCTTGTTTCTAAAGGGCATTGGTTTAACATTAGAACAAGCTCTGCAGTTCTGGAAGTCGGAATTTATCAAAGGAAAAATAGATGCAGACAAGGTAAATTAGTTGTTGAGAGCAGTGCTCAGTTTCTAACTGTTCTCTTTTGGACACTTGCATACTCCGTGGGCATTGTTCATGCATGTTGTGGGCAGCTGCTGTAGAGTAAAACTATTTTACATTAACTGTAAAGACAAAAGCAGCTGCTTTTGTATCCTCTTCTCACAGCAGGTTCTCCTCACTCATCTTTCATAAGTGTATATTGCCTAATGTTCTTTCTTTTGTTTGCAGTAATTATAAAAAGGAAATGGAAAGCTTAATTACAGTATTGGAAAGCATGTTATAGATGGATATCAGTATGTTTTTGCTTTCAACATCAGTAAAAGAACCTAATTCTACAGTAAAGGTATCTAACATCCTGCCAGCCAATACCCATTTGTGCAACAGGGCATCCCCATTCTGCAGCTCCCCCACTCACCCTGAAATTTGCTGAGAATGGTCCCTACAGAATGATTCAGAAGGTGAAGGGAGCAATTCTATTAATAGTAACTGTGTTCTTGGTGGATAGGCACCATTGGATTTCACCCTCAATCTTTAACATTATTTTGATTCATTCATACACTTGAACCATTTGCCAAATTCTTCTGGTTTTGTGCTACTCCAGGCTTCATAGTAGTTAAACCATTTGAGATTAATAAAAGGTGCATTTCAAATATGATGTGAAGAGTACATTCAAGTAACATTACTTTCAGATCTAATAGTATTTCATAATCCATCATTCCGCTGATTAACTTCTAAATTCTAAACCAAGATTATTGGGTATAACTACCACTTATGCAGACACTTTGTTACAGATGGGGAAGAAGAGTAACAGTCTTATTTATTCAAATGGTTACTTGTCGTTTTTGCTAATTGTGAGGACCACAGGAAGGGCTAAGGGAGTGCGCGCTATAGTCTGTGCCACAACAACTCCAATTGAGTGCCACCAATATTTAGACCAGTGTTAATGATAACAGAGCATCAGTTCTGAATCTGATGGCTTGCCCCTTGTCTTTCTTTTACAAATTTAACTGAAAAATGAGGTTCCTCTATGTGTCAATTCCAATAAAGTAAGTGGGGTGTGGTCTTTCATCAGGAACAGTGAAGGGGGATACATTATTGCATGCTCAGTGATGTCTAAATTCTGTGGTTGCCAAGGGAAATTATGCAAAGAAATTGAAGCAAGAACATTTTCCCCCTTTAGAAACCTGCATTTTTCTTAGAAGGGTTTTATTTTACAGTTGTCTGTGGATAACCTGTTTTCTCCTATCCCTGACCACTCTTTCACAAATTCAGTAATGAGAATAGTGTTTTTGGCTTTAGTTGAACTGTGAAAAATAATGTTTAAAAGTGAAACAAACGCCATGCATAGTATTTCCCAGGCTTCATTGTTGTAGTAGCAGAAAGCACAGCTGCCATTCCTCCTGCACCATCACTGCTTTGAAAGTCTGAAAAGGAGTGTGCCACTGGAGGCCTTGGATCCATTGAATCCAAAGCCCTCTTGATCCTTTGATTTGACCCCCAACAAGAGACAGAACCTATGGAATTGTGGAATACCAATTCATCTATTGTGCTCCCCTTGAAATATCATGAGAATATGTACCAGATGCAAGAAAAGGATGCTCCTTTTCTGTTTTCCCACCTTTGATGATGGAGTCTTTTCATTCAAGATCAGGCAGGGTGCTTGTATCACTGGTTGACAGAAGAGGCCATTGGTTGGAATACATGGGGCAATGTCTATATTCTTGCACTGCACTGGGCCTCAAAAATAATAACTACCAAGCTGTCATGTCTCTGTACTAGCTGTTCCTTTAGGAAAAGGTTAGGTTCATGAGATGAGGAAAGGGAGTTTTTCAAGCATAAGTGACTCAGTTTTCCAAACATTAAATTAATACCTCTAGGCATCAGGTGGACTGTAATGCCAAAGCAATGGTGGGTACAGTTACCCTCCAACACTAGGCCTGGCTCAGATCAACAAGTCTTCCCCAGGATACACAATCCAGAAATGAAGTTCTTCCATTCAATGGTGAGGGTTTCTTCAGTGCCTCACAGAGGAGATCGTGGACATGGTATGTAAGACAAGAACCATAGCCAGGAACCATACTGACTGTCAGCTTCCTCCATTTAAGCAGAAGGGAAGGACTCATCAACAACCACACTTGCAGCAACATCTTCAAGGTGACTGCACCTCTTACCAAAGACCTCTGTAACTGCCCAAATGCCAGTATGCTTCCTGCATGTACAGTGCTAGCTGCCATTAACTAGATCTGGATAATGCCAGTTCTGACTCAACTCTGTGCTTCTTCCCCACTATCTTTGGTTATCCACATTTCTTCCTATCTGGATTTCTATTACGTCTGACATGTCAGTGCTTAATCATGTCTGAAGGGGATACAAATCTGTATTTGATTGTCTCCCCTGTATCTGTGTTACATCATCTCTGCAATTCTACAGAAGGAAGTGGACTCTTTGCTACTGAAAGCAGCAATCCAGAGAGTAGTGTCTGCTTTTCTCCATGACATTTTCTATTTATGTTGTTTTATGGTCCCATAGAAAGATGGGGAACTATACCCAATTTTGGATCTATATGATGCCAATCCATTTATTACACCAAACTTTTTAAAGAATGACTACATTGTCTTTTATTTTGCCTCTTAAAAATGGGGGGAACTGGTTTGCTGTGGTGGACCTGAAAAATGCCTGCTTTCTGCAGTAAGATGCTGATGAAAGCTGCCTACTTTAATCAATCTCAGCAGTCAGTGTTTTCTCCACTTGATGCTTAGTGACACTACCTGTCAGTTTTGTGTCTTCCATGACTCCACAGGTGTTCAGCAAATATATAGTATTAGTATGTGTTAATATATGACTAATCTGGGCATACACATTCATCACTATCTAGATGACTAGCTCCTTGTCACATCCTTGAGAGAGGAACTTATCAATAGCATTGACAAATGCCTCACTTTTCTTCATCAGCTCAGTCTCCATGTAAACCATGGCAAGTTCACCCGGGGCCCACTCAATGGATCAAGTATGTTGGGGCCTTCTTGGATGCATCTTCCTTCCATGGGATTATGTATTGACCTTGATTACCATAACGGAGCACCTTATGGCCATGCCAAGTTACAACTTTTTTGGTACAATGTCTTCTGGGCATGATGACAGATTCTATGTCAGTAGTGGAGATCATTTGTCTGCACATGTGGCCAGTGGTGAATTGGTTCCTCTGACATTCCAGCCCTGCTCTCAGTGTTCACAATACAAGGCATGCCCTCCTTACCTGATCACTTAGTTTTGGTGGATAGTTCTTTTGATAAAGTTGGATGGCCTTGTTTAGACAGAGTTGTGTTTGACCCAAATTCTTTCCATTTCACAATAATGGATTGCTTCTGCACAACTTTATCCCAGAGTTGTTTTGATGGCTCCTTGATTTTCCTGATGTCCTGTGTTTAGGCAAGCTTTCCAACAAACACTTGGCCCTTCCAGAAGTAAGTGAGGTCATGTGACCCTGGAATTGTACCAGAGCTTGTTGAGGCATGTCACAGCGAAGGGAACAAATACTTCTGTAACCAACAAGCACCAGTTTCTTTTTGTTTGCTTAACTTTTGTGCCATGATAAAAAAAAAATTCTTTACTTTCACACTGCTGAGTAGCTTGTTTACCTCACATGGTAATAATTTCAATTAAATCCATTTCAATTTTTTTTTGTAACACAGTGAAATGTGAAAAAGTCAAAGGTGAATACTTCTGTAAGAGACTCCATGCAGCTTGGTTCTTATATATCCAATGCAACAGTTAAACTCCTTTTAAATCTACCCACGAGTGCTTATATGCAAAATGCCACTTTCTGCCACTGTGAAATTTGTGGAAACTGGTAGAATAAGTCACAGTATCACAGTATGACAATTAATATTTAAACACTTTGCTGGAACGGATCTCTCCTCTGTGCATGAATCATCAAGAGACCAGCTAGTCATGTATTTGATTAAATTATGGTTTTGATTAAATCATATTTTAGTTAGTTAATTATTAAATGGGCACCTCTGATTGTATACATTAATTTAAGTAGTACTAATTACTGTTTGCATTTCGTCTTCCATATTCTGTGCATTTTTGCATGCTTCTTGGTTTTGTTTTAATTTTGTTTTCCTTATGTTGTAGTCATCTGCATTGTGACAATAGGGACCTGTGTAGCTGTTTATCTGGAGTTAATTCACATACATGCAATGTGAACCCCTCAAGCCTGAAAATTGGCTGGGTTACTAAGACTAGTGATATATTTTACTTTTCTTGGAACTGTGGACTCCTGGTCATATTATCAACTCCTTTGAAACTGCATTTTATGTAGCACCTGAGGTGACAAATATCTAATGGTGTCTTGGGTTCAAGGAAGTCTTAGCTGGTTTCATGATTCTCTAGCTCCTAGTTAGGATGCAGTTATTGCCGAGTAGGGTTTTTTTCAATATATACAAATGAGGATGCTGGGTTGGGGTGATGCTATCTATTCATCCAAGAACCCCCAAAACTGGATGCCTGTAGTTTGGCTTTTGAAATATTTGTGTCAGCCTTGAGCAAGAAATGCTTCTTTACAGATAAGAGTTTTTGTTGCTGAAAGGTTCCTATTGTTCAGGACTTCATTGCTGCTAGAGGAGACTTGCTTTCCTAGCTTTCATTGTTCTTCTGTCTTTGCATGAAACACCTGTATACTAGTCATTAACCCAAAATTGGATGGCATGTCTGACTGAGTCAATAAGATAACTCAAGCTGTTTTTCTAAATGATTTTGTCTGTCTTAAGTACATGAAAACAATTATCTAAGGGATATAAATAATGAATAACCTGCAAGACTGGAAATAAAAAAAGCATGTCCCACTGTGTATATCTTTAAGAAATGCTACCCTTTGGTGACAGTCATGTTCCAGCTGAAGTTACCCCTAAAACTGCTAGTTCCAATGGTCCAAAATCTGCTTCAGTTCTTCAGATCACTAGGAATTCTGTTTCTCACTCAATACATCACTTTTC